GGAACAACTAATGGAAGAATTGAAAGTGCTCTGGCACCTGTTCAGGCAGAGTTTTCGATAGAGTGGGCAGGTCCCAGGGCTGCCTGTCAAATCACTTTGCCTAAGAAGGTTCCTCCTTAATATGTAAAAGCCTTCCACAAGTGTTTTGGAAACCAGGTCTTGCTGATGGCAGATGAGCAGGAGAAGGAGAACTGCCGACTGGTGTTGTTTTAAGGTACGACTGGAATCCAGAATTCAGTGTTTGGTGCCGTCTCTGCCTCTCCCTTCCCTGGTCTGTTTCCTCGTATGTCCAGGGTACATCAGATCTCTTGATGTGCCAGCCTCCTAGGGTTATCATGTGTGGAAACTTCTCTCTCATTATATATGTAAATATGTATGTCTAAGTACGTATGTATATGTATATAAAATGTATGTGGCATGATGCAAACAGTGGTTGCTAATGTTGTTTCTGATTTGCTTTGGTCTTGCCCCCTTAGAGTAAGTAGTCATAGGACAGCAGTTGGGAGTAATAACTAATACTTACTGAGCACTCACTGTAAGTACCACACGGAGGACTTAATCTGAGTTATCACACTTAGGTCTTGGGTCCTAAGGGATTTGAGATGGGGATAGTCTCCCATTCTTCCTTGTCCTCAGGTCTTCCTTTGCAGGGACAGGTGGAAGAGTGAAGGAGCTAGCTGACGTTGGAATAAGGGAGAACAGGAGTGATGCCTTCAGAAGGAGAGAGGGCCGGGGAGATGGGAGAGGAGCAAGGGAGGAAAGGGAAAAAAGGGAAGTGAGCTGGATGCCTTTGTTTGCCCGTTGGATACCCTCCACCTTGCACCTGCTCTCTGCTCCTGGGCTCCCCCAACTTTTCCAGCTTCTGGCGGGTTTGGCTACTGGGGGAGGGAGGAGTGAGAGGTGGCGTGTTTATTCCTGGTCACCTCACCACAGGCTGGCTGTGACCCTTTGCTCAAGGTCACATCACCCCTCTCCATGCAGCCATTCTTTCTAGGTTCTGGTGTCTGCTCCCTCTGCTTCTCCAGGCTTGGGGTTACACCAACTCCTTCTGTCGCCAGCCCTAGGTCCCCGCAACCCCCATTGCCGGCCTCTTTACACCCTGTGCTTAGCTTTGTAAATTTTCTGTTTTTGAAACTCTTCTTAACTACCCATTTGGGTATCCTGTCTGTCTGGGAGCCTGAGGTGGCCGATAGGACGGTCACCAGCTCCGAAGGCAGAGCATAGATGAAGGCTTAAGGTGTCTTTACTCCTGAGGGTGCCCCCACCCTATCCAGGCTGAGGCCTCTGGGCTGGAATGTAGGAGTCAGGTTTGACCTTCCCTCCAGGGAAGGCCATGGGCTTCTCCCCTGCCTCTCAGGTAGCCCCTCTGGATTGTTGCCGGAAAACCTATTTGTATCCGGAAGCCCACGTTCTGGGCACACGAATTTGGTGCCCAGATGGTGCCTGTATTTACAAAAGCCCAGCGCACTGACAGGACCTGCAGACACATGGATAAATATTTTGCCTCTCTTCTTAGGCAATATTTGAGTCTTTCACATTTAATTGCTGTCAAAGACAGGATGCTTGCATCCCCGAGGCAAAGCAAATAGTGAGGCCTCCAGCGGGGCTGTTTCAGCAGCTTCAGCCAGGCTCTCGGGCTGATCACCTGCAGCGCCAAGTGTCAGGTGGCTGGGGGGGCCGGGGGTGAGGGAGACGGAGGCAGCCGGCCGCAGCCTGCCTGGAACCGGTGGCCACTTGCTGAGTTTGTTTTGAGCCCGAGAAAACCTGCTCTTGGCCAAGAAATCTGATACTTTTCTCAGACATCCGCGATGGGCACCCATCTGGCCATTTCCAGGGAGATCTTGCTTGGTGTCTCCGAAGCGGAGTCCAGCACGACCCGCTCGACTGTACATATTGCTGATGATCCAGATTCTTGATACAGTTCTCTACCCTTTATATTTTCCTCTCCTGTTTCTTCTTAAAACAAACAAAACAAAACCCAGAAACCTCGACCTCGTTGCCCCTTGGATTACATTTACAAGTGTGGTGAGAGGCTGTTCTGCGTCTCTCTGGTTTTTTCCCACCTCGCTGTGATCAGATAAGCCTCTCCTTACAGTATCCAGATAGGGAAGGAGTGTTTGCTGTAGACGCAGAGTTCTGCAGCCATCACTTCCTTTTATTCATTAGATTCTGATTTGCCTCAATTATTTTGGTCCCTTGCATGGAACAGAAGCAGTTGGATGCCTTGCCCACTGTGGTTTTACAGAGGGCGCCTCCGATTATTCATTCCTTTCCTCCCAGCACATGTTACTGGTGCTTACCCTGGGCTGGGAGCTGGGGAGAGCGAAATGAATGGATAAGACCAGTCCCTGACCTTGAGAAACTCATAATCTGGTGGGGGAGCGAGGCGTGTAAACAGATAAATCATAGCCCATCGGTGTGCTTGCCGCAGGAGGGCAGGAGCGCGGGGAGGAGAGCGGAGGGACCGGGTTGAACCACTTACTGCTTCTCTGTAGCGGGGCGCAATCCAAGCTGCAAGGAAGGGCTTTGCCCAGGAGCCGCCATTTTGGCTACTTCTTGGGAGGGTTAGGGGTGCATCAGGGGAAGAAAGATAGGAGAGTAGGTGCAGAGTCCTGATGGATACAGCTGATCCAGGGCAGGGGTAGGGAAGGCCACCCGGCTGGGACTTCCCGCCTGAGGAGTGTGAGGTTTATCCCGTGTGTAAGAGAGACCACAGTTTCCTTTCTGGAATAGAGTCCAAGCAGCGGTGTGGAGGGTGACCTGGCGGAGGGAAGCTGCAGTCAGACACTTCTGGGTTCTCATCCTGGCGCTGCTGTTTCCTTGAGAAGGTCACTTCATTTTTTTGAGCCGCTTTTCTCGCTTGTGAAATGTGATCATATTATGCCAATGGTCATAGGAACGCCTACTTAATTGGGTTATATGAAGGATGAAGTAAGACAATATCCAGCACAGGGTTTTCTGCCATTGGGATAAGTACAGAACATGGAGGGTTACAAGTGGGTTGGGGATGTTGGTTCCTTCACAGGGAGGCTGACGGGGCCCAGGCAGCTGCATCCGTTTATCCCAGGGAGCCTTGCACACATCTCGTCTGTGTGTGCCATGACATGAGTCAAGTTGGAAACCATTGTTTTCTGAAGCACTTGGCAAGTGTTTCCTACAAGCAAGTCCTCAGTAAATGTGGCCGTTTGTTGAGATGGGTCATTGTATTCACACAACTACTCTAGAGGCTGAGGGCACAGAGGATGGGCTGGCTTCCAGGGACACTTCTGAGGTAGAACTGACAGAATTTGGTGACCAGTTGGGTGTCAGGGAGGATGGGCCCCACTAGAGAGGGGGAGGCATTGGGGATGGCCGGGGGATTTATTATGTTGTAGACTGAATGGGAGGTTGATGCTATTCAAGGAGATTGTCATGGAAGTCAGAGCACGTGGGCTTAGGGTATGAACGTTACTGGAGATGGTCTGATAGACTGCTTTCCCAAGAAGGCAGGGCAAGATAGCAGGTTAGGGAAGAAGGAAGACCCGGTGGGGGTGTGGTCAGGGGGGAATGCCGGGGGCACGTGAGAGACTTGAGGACATTTAAAGGCTAAGGGGACAGAGGCAGAGGAGGTGAAGAAGGAAAAGTGTGTCTAACACTTTCTCCAAACTTTGCCTCCCGGCACAGTGTCTGTCCCATTGGAGGAGTGTCTGCCAATAACTGACAGTAGGGCAGTTGTCCAGATATGATTTACAATAAGGCATCTGATTCATGAGAGGGACTGTCCAAATTACTGCCCTCCACCAATTGCCGGGTTCCCTGCTGACAGTGTGCCAGGGGTCAAACAATTCAATCAGGTGCCACCACTTACAAATTGAAAATCAGTGGGGTGCAAAATGGATTACCATCAAAATCTATTCAGGTGCAAAACCACATTTTAAAACCCCAGCCCTTAGAAATCACCTCTTCCCTGATTCTTTACAATCCCCTGACATTGAGTTTTAATATTCCCCAGATATTTGTAAGCGTCAAAAGACATGCCTGCAGGAGACCAAAAGTGACAAGGAAGGAACTCCCAGTTGGGCCTTTCTTTTGGAATTTGCAAACATGCTGGATGTATGAATTAATACATTGGTAATTCTTTTAGATTCTCAGGGGCAACCGTTCTCAAACTGAGGCGTACAACAGAATCACCCAAGGGCTTATTAAAATTCCGATTGCAGGCTCTACCTCTGAGTTTCTGATTCGGCAGCGCTGGGATTAGGCCTGGGAAATGACATTTCTAGCAAGTTCCCAGAGGATGCGGGTGGGCCCTGGACCACACTTTGAGAAACTCTGCTCTGAGTTACAGGAGTACTTTGATAAGTTGGCAATGCATGCTTTGCTAGTCAAATTATCAGGAAAGATTCCATTGGACCAGGTGTTGAGTGTGTTAAGGGGCTTGATTTTTTTCCCCCCAAGAAGCCTGAGAAGAGGCTGGCTCAAGGAGACAGACATGGATTTGAGGGCTTTGTGCTCAGAGGTGAGGTTGGGGCATGGGATGGAGGCAAGAGAAGAGGCCACTCTTGCTCACTCTTCCACGAGACGGCAGGTGCTGCAGGCACAGATGACCTCATTAAGGCCAGAGCCTGTTCTGCGTTGGTCCATGGATACAAACTGTTCCTGTCTTTTGATGCCACACCTCTTCCCATCACTTGAAAGTTGATTTTCTTAAGGTTAAACAACCACAGGCACTACTTTCTTAGCAAGCTGCTATCAGCCTAAGCTTTGACTCTTCCCATCCCTGAATGATGCCACGGAGGTATTTTTCTATCTCAATCGATGGTGTTTGACTTAAGTTCTACTCTGTGGAGAGTAGACATGACTTTTTGGAGTTGAAGTTACTGCCTTGTATAAACTATAGGTGTCACCAGGCCCGATAGGAAACGAGTCTTTTTCCCCAGCACAGAACAATGGGTCCTAGAAACTGCCCCAGACATGGTTGCTGCCTCTTTAACGTTCAGTTTCCCATCTCTCTTTGGCAGGAGAAATTGAGCGATGCACGTACATCAAATACCACTACTCCTCAGCCACCATCCCCAGGAACCTCACTTTCAACATCACGAAGACCATCCGTCAGGATGAGTGGCATGCCCTTCGTAAGTACACCTGAGTTTATTTCTTTGGCGGTGACCTTTGGAGGTCGTGGAGGTTTGGACGCCCATCAGCAGCCTGGTCTGGACGGATGGATGCGCCTGTTAGACCTGTGGATAGTCTCAGAGCGCAACAGCAGTTCCTTAAAGTGTCAATACCTGGGTCAGAATTGCCTCCGCTGGCTTTGATTGCCTTAGATTTAAAGAGTTTGCTTCTAAAATTAAAAACAGGGGCGCCTGGCTGGCTCAGTTGGTAGACCACGTGACTCTCGATCTTGGGGTTGTGAGTTTCAAGTCCCACCTTGGGAGGGAGAGCCTACTTTAAAAAAATAAATCAAGGCAACAAATAAATGTAACATAAAAGACAATTAAATAAAAAAAAAACCCCAAAACAATGAACAGACAATGATGGGTAATCTTACTTCGTTACCGGGTAGGCGTTTATGATTTCACCTACCTAACGAAGCCAGCTCCTGGGATCTCACTTCAGCGCCTCTCCTGAGTTGCTTGGAGTATTATCGTGGCAACCTGTTGAATCCCTTGTGCCATTCTTTGTATGGGGTGAGGCCAGCTGGGGGTTGCAGGCTGCATAGCGTTGGGAGTTTGCATCTGGGTGGGTTGCTAAGGCATAGGATCTCATCCTCAGTTTAGGAGTTTCTGTTGCCCCAAGAATGAGAGACTTGGGGACCCAGTTCACATGTGATTGCTCAGCAGAGGTCAGAATATCTGCCTCCAGCGGTTAGGGAGTTTCTTGGTCAGGGACCCTCAAAGACTCTAATTATGGTAAGAGGATGACTTCATGAGCAAACAGTTGGCTGTTTTCATTTTTCTGTTCCATGGGCACATCCTGCTCGTCCGTGTCTGGGAAACTGTCCTTCGCTGGTGGCACAGTTCTTCAGAGGGCACATTCTGCTCCGAGTTGTTTCTGTTGCATTTGTTACTTCTTTCCTGCTGCAGGTCCCCCCCCCCCGCCCCCCGCCCCACCCCGTAATATCACAAGGCTAAAAATCTGTTAACATTTATATGCGAGGGAGGGTCTTTTATTGTTTGCTCAATTGTTCCGTCAACTTTGAAGAAGGTTGAAAACCTCTTTCTTCCCTTTATTGTTGCCTAGTTATGTTTTGCATGCCTGGGGTCCCACAGGTGTCTTCCACTTGTTAGTTTGGCTTCAACCAAACGACTGTGGATTGAGGTGGTGGGAGGTGAGAGGGGCGAGTAAGATTAAAACAGAGCAACGATTCATTGGTTTCAGGAAAAAAGGCTGTGCCCAGGTGTCTGGATGATTGTTGCCACCACTGGCCCGAAGTGATAGGGCAGATGTCAGTGGATGGGAAGGCGTTAACCAAATTGTTACCTTCAGGCTTTGACATTACTAGAGAGAGTAACCAGAACATGGGGACAGAAGGCTAATGTTGCAATTCCCATGTACTAGACATTGAGCTAGGCTTACACATACTTATTTAACTTTAATGTGAGATTTGTCTTAGAGATTCTAGTACTCAGGATTACTAATTTTTTTTTTTTGGATGTAGACACTTAAGGAGACAAATACATAAATACCCGAAAATGCCTATTTCCCGCATTACATTGGTCTACTGTAACAGAAGCCCACAGTAGATGTTCAAGATTCCTGATAAGCCTTGCTGAGTAACCACTTAAATATAACTTAAGTTATGGGGGTCATAACAGAATCTAAGAAAGAAGAAGTGATTGACGTAGCTTCAGTTCGTATTTACTCAGTTCAGCCAAAGGTACTGAGTTTTTCTATGTACAGGCACATAGTGGATACTGAGGCCACAAGGAACTCTGAAAGAGCTCACACCTGGAGGTGGAGGTGGGTGGGGGAGGGACATATTCACAAAGCAAATAATTACAAGGCAGTGTGATCATTACAATATGGTATAATTGTTTCAAGCAATTAAGATAGTTTGTGAAAGTTTTCCAGCAAGAAGGAGAATTAGTATAAGTTGCACCGATGCATTTCAAGGGAAACCCAATAGAATGCTATTGGCTGCGCACAGTAGAAACGCAGAATTCGACTAGATTACCCATTGCAGCATTGCTGGAATTGTTATGTGGTGTTGGCAAAGACTGAGAGAGGAGGCTAGTGCCAAGGTTTGTGGAATTTTCTTTGAGTCCAGTGTCTCTGGGGTCCTTATTCTGCAACTCTGGTACCACTGGGTTCTGCAAAATCAAGTGTGCCGCTTATGCTTGTGAATTGGGGTACTACTAGATCTCTGCTTTTAATGGATAAAAGCTCTCTCAGCATGCGAAGGTTTTTGGCATCCCATGGTGGGTGAAGTGGAGGGTACTCTTTGGTGAGGGATTTGTCTGTTTCACAAAGTGGCCTAATGGGCTTTTATTAAGCAGGCAGAGAACATTTGCCATTCCTGACATCGATGACGCTATTTTTAGCCAGAGGGCAGGTGAGCATCTCTCACATCTGAAGTTGGTGCTAAATGTAATTGGCAATGCTGGCATAATGGGAAAGGATAATAAATGTCAATTTTAATTTTCAAAGGTCAGATAGATATTAAGTAGGAAGTGGGTTCATGAGTCCCCTTTCAAATAAAGTAGAAACTACAAAGACTAGCAAACCCCTACGACCAAGCTTTGAAAATTAAAAAAAAAAAAATCAGACTCTGATTTCTTATTTGAGAGTTCTGTGCTCTGTAATACTGTAAATGAGATCAAATAAATCCATTTGATACCAGGTTGGTTATCATTTTGGAATTTGACCATAATATCTTACATTCTATCATTTCGCTTAATAGATCATATCTGCCAAAGGCAAGAAATCAATTTTTTTTCTGAAAGAACTTGGTAAATATTTCAGACTTTGCTTAAACTGAGGTTAAACATTTCTCGTTAGGGATTTGCATGGGGTCATCACCCCTTGATGTGGGGAAAAACTATTTTTTTCAAATAGGAAAAGCACGGTTTGGTTTAAAACTGCGCTGTGGTTTCTGAACAGTTAACACCACCAGTGGGAGGCTTCACTGTTTGGCTGAGAGCTCATCCACTTTATGGTCAAGTGAATAGTAGGCGAAAGAATAAAATTATTTGTAGGTCACTAGGCTTATAAATCCAAGTGTAAAGAGATAATAACCACCTTGGGAAATAAAGGTGAGAACCAAATGTGTGTGTGTGTTGTGGGGGTGGTCTCTGAGGTTCGAGCGCCCACTTGTCTGAGTGACTTGCTGGTGAGGTTTTGACTTGCTGGCGAGGCGTTTGTCCAGCCCCCGTGGGTCTGACCCAGATCCTCCTGCCCCCTCCAGCGCTGGGCCAGTGAGAATGGGATGGTGGAGACGGGAGATGCGCTTGGCCAGTGCCACCCTCCGGGTGGGTTGTCCAGTGTAATGTTTTGAATGTGACAGAATCCGATGAGCGGCAGTGAGGGGAAAGCAGGTTGGCACTGCGGTGGCACCCGAAACAGTGCCACTTCCTCTTTTCACTAGAAAATAATGTCCCCACAGGCTTTTCGTGCTCTACAGCTCCGTCTGAGGTTGCAGCCCTTGTTAGGAGGATTCTGTGTCCTCCTGCCACCTCCAAGGGCCTCTGAGGCCATCCCCAGTGGCTCTGCCTTTGCTCTGTGTGCCACTGGCGTCCCTTTGGCATGCGCTTTCAGAGCAGATGGAGGTCTGCACGTGGCTGTTGGCTGGGCAAGGGGAGGTGGGAGGGCGGACAGCCTGGGTGGCCCGCGAGAGGCCCTGGGGAGACAGGAGGCCTAGAAAGCTGGGTCTGGGAAGACGTCCCTGAGAGATGAGTGCTTCTGCAAGAGGGAGTTGGCACAGAGTGGAGCTGCACCGGGTGACCCTGGGGAGGCTAGCAGGTGGTACCGAGGAGGAGCCTGCCTGGGGGCCGCAGGGCAGGCGCCTGGTGGAGGATGCGAGAAGGATACGCCTTCTTACCCTCTGATCTCTGCTTTGCTGCTGCCGGGTTTCCCCTGGGGTCTGAGCCCCAGGACTCCTGAGTTGCCGTTCGTGTGCACTCGGGGGTTTTTCATTCCACATGGCGTTTTCAGGATGGAGGTTTCAGCTCACAGCTGATTGCCCCTGGCAGCGGGAGTCAGGGGGCCGGGACTCCACTTCCCTGCAAACAGATCCTGTCCGTTATCTCTCAAGAGGCTGAGAGCCAAGAAAGCTAGAGTTTTTTATATATTTATTTTTTTAAAGCCTCCTTCTGTCAAGACTGAAAGTTCAGTTAATTAGATCTGATGGTCACACGGCACATTTCCAGCTGACCAGGGAGGGAAAGAGAAGGAGGAATGATCTCCTCCTCCTGACACGGGCATCCCTGCTCCCCCGTCCTCCTGAGGGCGCTCCTCCGACAACACGCAAACACGCTCACACAGTAGCTCTGGAAAGTGGGATCCAAGAAATAAGATCTGTCGTTAAAGAGGGAGGAGGGGAGAGGAGGGAGGGGGCGTAGGGGAGGGAGACAGACGGAGATGGAGCCTGAGGCTGTCAAGAAGCAAGGGCATTTCAGTGGCTGTGCTGAAAGAGGGAGAAGAAATCAAAATCCAGAAGTTTCTTTTCTAATGTAGACCCTCGAATGACACACCTGGCTTCCTGCCCCAAGGTTTGAGGTTGCTCATAGCGGGGGGGGCCTGTAGGGTAGCTCAGTTTTGGGGGGCAACCCCCACCCAGGCTGGTGTATGGTGAGCAGCTCAGGGTGTCCTGCTGCTCTGTTGTGCATTTCAGTGCGGAACCCTCACCTTACTCTGCTTGGCCAAGCCCTACTTGGTCTCCTCCTCTTCTGGACTCTTCCACCCCCTCTCCTCTTTCCGTAAGTAGTGCATCCTGCCCCTGGACCCTAGTCTCCCTGGGCTGCTGTCTCACTCCTTCTAGCCACCCCCAGGTCATGCCCACCTCTTGTGCCCTAGGCTACTTCCTGCTCTTCCCCCTGGCCTTGGCCTTCTGGACTTGGATTTATGTTGGCTCCTTGCCTGATGGCACTTGCCTTTTCCTCTCCCAGTGGACTGCCCTGGCAGCTCCTGGACCAGC